TTAGTAGCAGGCCAATTTCACAGGTTTATTCTATTCATATAACCTTATGATTTTCTTTTCAAAGTGTGCCAATTTTTAAAAATCCTGTTCTGTATAATCAGTTATGAAAATACCTGTCACACCCCCCCCCCCCCCCCCCCCCCCTTTTCCTCCCTCTTACAATTAATTTAAGTGCACACATGTTTTTTATGCTAAAACAGTGTTTTTGAGATTTATAAAGTTCTCAACAGTAAATTATTTTGATAAGTGTGCCTTTTTCATTTCATATACTCCCTTTATTTTCTTTGGTAGGATAGTAAGTTCACCAAATACAATGAACATGTGTATGACAATTGGGACTAACATTACAAGCAAGTTTTCCGCTAAAAATTGAAAAATATATTGCATTAGCATACATTGTACTTCTTAACATTTGCAAAAACAATCTATTTCCTATAGCTTCTGTATTAATTTTTATGTGTAAATATGCATTATTGCCTAAATTGACCAAATAACTTTTTTCAATCATGATGATGATGGGTGTGTTTAACGACTTTGACTGGCTATACAGCCCTTGCACTGTCATTTTTTTTTTCTATTCAATTATACATGGCCAAGCACGTTTTATACTCATGTTGAAGAATTAAAAAACCTTAAAAATTTTAAATTGGTAGAAAAAAAAAAACATTTTTATGTCATGCATCATGCATGTAAAGCCACCTTCTTTTGATAATCTTTTATTTTTCAGGCACACATTAATTAAAAATTTTGAATAATTGTAATAAATCTTGAATCCTTGATACACTGAATGATTCTTCAATTGCTTTACATACATGCTACATAATATATTAGGGCATTTAACATTGTTAAATAAATTAATGTAAAAAATAAACTACCCAAGGCAGGCTAAGCTACATGATTAAAATGGATATATCAGTATTGTCTTTTTAAAATAAAGATTGTATATTTACTTTGTCAACTCTTTTATAATTCCCTACTCTAACCTGTCTAAGGTCATGCAAAGTCTATAAAAAATGTCTATTCAGTTTGAAAATAAAATTATTTCATTATTTTAAAGAGGTGGATTTAGGGGAGGTACATATATGGTTAATTCATAGCCTTTTTACATGTCCCACTTCAACCGTTGCCTAGTTTGGGAAGCCTTTTGCCCCTTTTTTTCGAAATCCTGGAAACATATTTGTAACATTTTGTTACCTGCATTTCTTTCAGACAATACCTGGTAAATGAAAATATAAAAAAACATACTAGACTTGCACTTTCTCAATTAAATTTTTACAGGCCTTTTAAAGCTGACTATGTGGTATGGACTTTGCTCATTGTCGAATGCGGTGCAGTGACCTATTGTTGTTAATTTCTGTGTCATTTGTTCTTTTGTTTTATTGGATATCATACCACATCTTTTTTTTTATATAATGTTCTACTTTTAGGCAAAAATATATATTAAAATCATAGAATATCTACCAGCTCTAACTCAAAATATGGATGTTCACTTCCCATATGTTAAAAATACAAAACATGTACATTCATTTGTATGTAATAACATGAATAAAGAAATTATAAAAGTAACGAATCAATGAAATAACCTGAATAACCTTTTACATTTTGCCACTGTGGAAATAATTATAAGAACTATTACATGTACCCCCCTTTTTCAATTCTAACTAATTTATAAGCATAGCCTGATTTGAATTTATCTAACTTTTTAATTCTGTCCATGAAAAGTGTACTGTTCTAGCAAAACACATACTGATATATCTTTATTAATTAAGACATTTGACATAGAATTTAAAAAAGAGAACAAAATTTTAATACAACAGTAAATTGTTTGAAATATATAGTTCAGTATGCACCTCACATTATCCATGTTATCGTTAAATAATCAACACAGTATGATATGTGCCAAGTTTTACATGAATAATCTACAGGAGGGACCCAGATTTTTTGAAAAAGAGGGTGGTGGGGTTACTGATGGATGGACAGACAGACAGACAGACAGAGTGCAAACCAAAAGTCCCATTCGACTTCGTCAGTAGGGGACTAATAATCTAAACTAACAACAGGGTAAATGAAAATTCTGTTTGCCATAGAAACTCCTGCCTTTTTCCCCGAAAAATCAAATAGTCATTAGTATTAATTAACTTATGGTGTCTGATGTAGACAACATTCTGTATGTATGTGCCTGTCCCAAGTCAGGAGCCTGTTATTCAGTGGTTGTCGTTTGTTGATGTGTCACATTTTTGTTATTGGTTCATTTTTTGTACATAAATTAGGCCGTTAGTTTTCTCGTTTGAATTGTTTTACATTTGTCACTCCGGGGCCTTTTATAGCTGACTTTATATATGCGGTATGGGCATTGCTCATTGTTGAAGGTCATTTGGTCTTTTGGAGAGTTGTCTCATTGGCAATCATACCATATCTTCTTTTTTATATATAACACAACTGCCAAGTTGCAAATAAATGGTGATTTAGTCAACACACCATGGATTACATTATACTATCGATCTTAGTTGTAAGATTAACCATGGTAATGTGCAACGACTCCTGGACCCTAAGTGGTCTGTAAATAATGTGTCATAACATTTACCACAAGTACATTGTACATTGAGCATCACTCATTTTAGTGTGGGTATTGCTGTGTTTTTGCTTATTCCAACCAGTCCCTGTCCCAAGTCGTGAAATTCTAGTCTTTTTTAGTCTTGTATGTATTTTAATTTTTGGTTCATTTATATGTTTTGGCGTTAAGTGTGACGTCCATTTTCCCTGGACAATACATTTTTGTTTAGGGGCTAGCTGGACCCTGCCTCCAGGGGCTGATTTTCTCGCTGTGTTGAAGACCCATTATACCCATAGTGGCCACAGGTCATCTTCTCCTATTTGGTTGGATTGCTGTCCTGACATGTAATTTTCCCCGTTTCCATTCTCAATTTTATATAATTTATAAAACACATTAATGTTTGTCCCTGTTTTTTGCTTTTTTTTCCATTTCCGTTAAAAAAATAACTTTCAAATGATTTCACGGTCGTGAATCATTCTTGTGCTGGGATCATTCGAACACGATGTAAAAATTATATATCTTCAATAAACGAAGGATCGCATCGCTAGAAACTTAAAAAAATACTTACATTTATGTTCATTGTTTGTTTACAAAATATTACATACATTTTACGCATATTTCCGGGTACTTTTCTAGTGTAAAACAAGTGTGAAACTGCTTCATAAGCTACTAAAATGAAGATCGTTTTCTAACATTTTCGATCTTTGTTTCAGTATTCATGAAAAGCAGCCCACGTGTTCAATTATTGTGATTTATCTTGTGTTTATCTTCTCACGCCGGCAAGAACATGCCATTACCACAAAACGGAAGTGCATTTACAACAATGAAAATAACAATAAATTTTTTTGTAAAATTCTAGAATTACAGTTTTCGATAACAACATTCTTTTGTTATATATTTAAATCAAATAGATTATTTATAATAATCAAAATAAATTATTATTGACAATTACGACAATAGGATGACTTGCGATATCGATGCGCAACTTCCTGCGCAGTTGGCGCGAAAATTTGAACCCGCGAGCCCCCTTAAGTGCCCGTAATAACTCGTGTAACATTCCGTACAGCCATCGTAAAACGACCCGAATGAAATCATAAGCAACACGTAAGCACCCTTGATAATCCGTAAATAATCCATATACAAATCAATTACTAACCGTAACAAATCATTAAAAAAATGTATCGAGTCATTTACAGATAGTAACGTGTTGTTGCGAGCTAGTTACGATACCCACAGATTGTGACGAGATATTTACGGAAAAATCAATTCGTGGACATTCGTTAGAAGATTGTTGACATGTCAAACAATTTGCCTTTGATTTCACGAATCTTTAAGAGTTTCTGCGAGTTGTGACGAGATATACTTACGGATACCAAGGAGATATTTACGGATGCTGCGATTGCCTACGAGTTGGCGATCCGTATGGACTCGTAAGAAAAATCCGTTTATGTGAAGAGAGTATTACACAAGTTCCGTTACATATTAAAGGCAGTAATAGATACTGTTCATTCAGAAATTATTGCAAGGTTTTTATTAATGCGAATAGTGCAATTCGGTGATTATCGCAATAATAAGAACTCGCATTTTGATATCTGGTACAAAAATCTGTATGCAGATTTTCCGGAAATCGCAATAATTAATCTCGCATTTTAGTCCATCCTTTAAAAAACGCAATAATAAATGTACGCAATAATATTTGAATTAACAGTAACTACATGTTTTCTAACTTTAATACGAAAATAAAAAGTACAATTTCTGCATTACCAGGACTTATTACGGTGTGTCTTCTTCTAGACTATCCTCTATATATCACAGGAATAAAAAGAAAAATGTATTTTGATATTGTTACATGTGCCAAACAAAAAGGTTCAATTTCTGCATTACCAAAGATAAATCCTAAAGAGATGAAAATACCACACAAAGCTTCGTCCTCTTTTATCATTTGAACCTCTTGTGGCGAACTGTCTTCTGGACAGATTTATTTGAAAAACCACAAGCTTTTAATGGGTTCACTTGTTTAAGCTTAATAATACGTGCCAGCAAATGAAGTGTAAATATTTACATAATATTTTAGTATTAATTTCAATTGTGAAAATAATCCCCACTAATTGAATTCTATTGTAAATCAAAATATTTATAATCATACATATCTTTCATCAAAATCTGAGAGCATTTATTTACATATTTAATCATATTTGTTACTTGAGACCCCCAGGTTTTCTGATCTATGACATTTTAAAAACCCCGAACATTGATATTAAAAGGCAACCTTCCAGAACTAATTACGTTAAAGAAGATTTCACATATAAGTAATACACAGATATCAGTGATTTAAGTAAACTTGGCGAAGCTTGACAATGGGACATTTTATGTTGGTGTTTTCCGATATTATCTTTCTTGTCAAATGATTGTTTTTAAATGTTTGTTTGACTTTTAAAAGGTGAGATATGGCGCTCCATTTATAATACATATGTACACAAGTCAATGTATGGGTGACTTAAGGATTATATGTAAATAATAATACGCCGATAAGATTAGCTCGGTGGCTTGGAGATTAACTTAAGTTGTATAGTGATTTTGTCAAATTTGTCAATCAATATTAATATAGCAACAAGGAATGATATTCTATGCAGTAGGCTCCTGATAAGAATTGGCAGTTTTAGAACTTAACATTTTCTAATGGAACTTCAAGCACTTTGATAAGAATAAAAGTGAAGAATTCACAAGGTATGTAGTCTTTAGTAATCTTGTACTCTTTAAGAGTAAAACTATGTTTGTGTATTAATTGTCCATATATGTAGTGGATCATTTTATAATTTTATGTGTTTTTAAGACTGACTCGTTGATGTTAAGCCAATATCTGAACTACAGTATCTTATTAAGAGGGAGAATAGATATATGTACCAAAGGGACAATCAAAAGAAAACTTCACGCCATGTTCCGGATCCACTCGGTGTATATGGTGAGGCTAACGTATTGTTTGGCTGACCTGGTCGTTTTTAAAATACAGGACAACAAATTTGAAACGTTACTGTAGATATCTGACGAAACTGAATTACTTGGAATTTGAAAAATGATTCACAGTTTCTCAAATTTAAAAATTTGTGACCAACTGTTTGCGTCAATGTTTTGGAAATGTGTACCTTATTGTTTAAGTGTGTGTTGGCCCTTTTAACTTTTTTGATTCGAGCGTCACTAATGAGTCTTTTGTAGACGAAACGCGCGTCTTGTGTGGAAAATTTTAATCCTGGTATCTATGATGAGTTTATGTGCACATCAGATTCATTATGTTATGAAAATGATTTATTTTGATAGAACATTTAAGAGACTAATAAATTGCATGTGTCTCTGTACTTTATTATGGTTTACATACATACCAGTTACCCAGATCATAAAGGGTCAAATTGTAATCATCCCTTGCCCCTAACCTTACTTGATAACCCTCTAAGTCGCACAATACTTCAACTCAAATATAAGGAAATACTTATGCTTAATGTAAGTTACCAACACCAATAGTGAGGAAGTTATACATTCTTTAAATCATATGGAAAGAGTGAATGAATTAGACCGTGACCAAGAACAGTTAGAACAACATAGGAAAGATCTCTAGAAATAATCTACAGTCAATAAAAATCTTTGGCAGAGCAGGTACAATACATAGGATATGTCAGGAACCTGGGACCTAAAACAATGTAATTTTCTCCATTGGCATAAAAGTGCAAAAACCTATAATGCATACTAAAAAAAACGTCGGTGTTCTATGCTTTTTCAAAGAAACGAAATTGTTATATATGTCTTATAACTTTATGATTAGAGTATATTCTTAACATTTAAAAAGAAATACAAAAAATGTATGTTCCGCCTTAACACGTCCGCCCCAATCTATTTATCTACGGATTTAATGTGTATATAATTACGGCTTAATGCGTCCATAATCAAACATGTTTTAATCCTTAACAAGCGACGAGTAGACATACATTACGATTTTTTATTGTCCGCGAAATGTTTTCTTCACATCACTGAGTTCCGTCTATTGACATCATTTGTACCTTGGTTCGCATTTAATTAAAACCGAAATTATATACTAGTAATTTGTATCATATTGTCTTGCTTTGCTAGTCTTATTAAACTATTTTTTCTGACTTTTAAAAAGAACTGATTATATGTCTTAGTAATGTATTAAATCTCTTTTATTCATCTTTTTCATTTATGATTTGAAAGCACCAGTTTTGAAAGAGTATGGAAACTATTGCTTAATATGCAATCAAAATTGTGTGTATTTAATAAAGAACCTCTCACATAAAAATTAAATGGGCTTATTCATCAAACATGTCAAAGGGTAAATATACACGTCTATATGAATCAAACTTTTTCAAAATGTATTAATACGATTTTGTACAGCTTTGCAATAACTAATGATTTCATTGACCAAACATGATGGTTGACAAAATAGCTTACAAAATAAGAAAGTCTATCAGCTTATTTAGCAGAAATAACAGTATATTTACAAGTAAGTCGTGACGTTTTCTATGTTGAATTTGTCATCATGTAGTACAAATAAGATTAATTAAAGATAGCTGTTGAATGAAGGTGTGATTGAATCTGAAGAACAATAATGAATTTCTTTCAAAAAATGAATACGAACAACGTTCAAATCAAAAATTACAATTTCATGAAAGTATTATGCATTTTTTTTTTCAACTAAAATGAAGTAAATTGGTTGCTGGTGTCCTTCGATGCAAAAGTTTACAAATAATGTTAATTTTTTCAATACTGTCCTCGATTTGTCGTTAACATCAATTTACAGCAATAAGTAACATTTGAGTTTTGGTTTATTTTGACTCTCCCCTGTGCCATTAACGCTTCGAATTTTACACTGTGAGCGGCGACACAAGTAAATTAACCTTGCGTATTATACCTGGACAATAATATCGTCAGTTCTAACATTATTTTTTTGTCAGATTAATTTGAAAACAAGAATGTGTCCATAGTACACGGATGCCTCACTCGCACTCTCATTTTCTATGTTCAGTGGACCGTGAAATTGGGGTCAAAACTCTAATTTGGCATTAAAATTAGAAAGATCATATCATAGGGAACATGTGTACTAAGTTTTTAAACTACGTTGACCAAAAACTTTAACTTGAAGCGGGACAGACGGACGGACGAACGAACGGACGAACGAACGAACGAACGAACGGACGCACAGACCGAAAAACATAATGCCCCTCTACTATCGTAGGTGGGGCATAAAAATGAAAAAAACCTTTGTTACTAGAACTGTAACTTCACATTTGATGATTGACGTTTAGAAATTGATTTGTTTATTTTTATTTGTTCATTCATCTTTCGCCTTTTTTTTTCCAGTGAAATAATGCCGGGCGATATATCAGGCCCAGACCTACAACTAGCTAGACCAAAGACTAGTCCAGCAGCTATAACTAGAACAGGAAGAAGAGGAAAATCAAAACAGGATGAAACAACTCCAGAATATCATGTTGAATTACTTGAATACGAATGGCCGGATTTACCACCGATTCCGCATATGAAAGATGCAATAACAAGAGAGAAAGTAAGCAAGGGTATAAGTTACCTTTTACCAATTGATAAAGGTAAAAACTCGATTGATAATAAATACAGAACGGACCTCAGAGCCATGTTTCAAGAGCCGTATGCTAATGACGACCATGGATACAATGATAGCAAGGTCAAACTTAGTGCGCATGTACATTTTGATACAAACGCCGTTGACACAAAATGGTCAAAATCTTTACTGAAGCAAATACCTGTAGAAGTCAATTCAGATTCTGATAAATTTAGGAAAATGTATGCACGTTCAGCGCCAATTGGGCGCTCAAAAACAATGGGTTTGGATACGGATAAAATAAGAACTCGATCGTGCCGTTATCTGCCAATGAAAACGGTTCAACATCCAGAAGCTATGGAACTCCGACAGGAAGTAGAAAAAATAATCCGAACTGTGTATAGTGATAATGATGATAGCGATATTGAGACGGAGGTGGGTGAAGTCGACGCCTCTCGTCACGTCAGGCGGTTCTCACTTTATCCTAGACGAACTTCTGAGTATATACCACGTTTAAATACAGATACTGAAAGTTTCATGTCTATAAAGCCACCACGTTTAAAACTAACTGCGGATAAATTTAATAGTTACGAACAATTGAAGTTGACGAAACCACCTAAAGCAGTGATACCGGAACTATTTATATGTAAATACATTAAAAAAGAACGTGCTCAAGAAATTTGGGAATGGTTACATTACGGAGAAGAAATGTCAGAATTTGAATATTTTCTATCTGTATGTGGGTAAATAAATGCATTTTTCTTACATTAGTTTTGTTGTCGACGAATATTTTAGCATGTGTACGCAAAGTAATACAGCATGTACCAACTTATATCCATGGATTGAAAGAGCACATATGATAGTTAGTCATTGAGTACAATGTAAAGATCGAAAGGGCCAAGTACATGTAGCATGTTAACTTGAAGAATACAAATCTCTTACTTTTTGTGGAAAAGGGTGCTACAATTTCTCTACATGACATATGTAGTCTTGCAAGGGAAAGTAAAACATTCTTTAAAATAATAGATAGCAAAGAACAGTGGTATACCCACACTATTTATATAAATATGATTTATATAACAAACAAGTATAAGAATTGTCCTTTATTTAATTTTTACTAATCAGACTGAAATACAATGGTGGTTCCGACTGATTGGTATCATTGTTCAAACATCCTGGAGTATGATATTCACTCTTAAGTGCAGCGACCAATATAAGAGTATAAGATGGCATACTTAAATATTATATTATTGGCTTACTTATAACCGTGTTATTGAATTGTGTTTTTTTTTTCAACAATCTATGAGATAAAAGGGGAGAATTTAGCACCCATAAACATTGCTGTGTTAAACCAGTTTTCGTATTATAGTAAACTCTACTTGATTGTAGACATGTGTGTCTTCATGCGAACTAGTATGTGAGGAAGCCTATAAAAATCCAGTCAATATAAAAATAAGGAGATATGGTTTGATTTTCAATGAGACAACTATCCACCAAAGTTAAAATGAAGTGGATATAAGCAATTATAGGCAACCGTACGGCCTTCAACAATGAGAAAAACCCATATCGTATTGTCGGCTATAAAAGGCCCGACATGAAAAATATGAAAAAATTCAACTGAGAAAACTAACTTCCTAATTTATAACAAAACCATTTACGAAAAACAAATATGACAGACATGAACTAACGACAACCACTGAACTACAGGCAAGCCTGTCAATAAAGTACACAGTATAATGTCTAATTCCCATCACACAAATTTTGTATCCTGCTTATGGTAGATTGTCCACTGAACGTTTTGTATCCTTACTTTCCTACTGACGTCCGTCCATTTTTCTTCTTCATTCCATCCTGCGTTTTGAATGCGTGTTGTCTTTAATACAAAATTATCTCAATATTGGTATCCTAAGCTGTGATTTGGCATTCTTTTGCACAAATATTGCTGAACACCGTTTTTTCACTGCTTTGATTAATAAAAAAAGTTGTTGAAGGTTATATAATATGGAAGCTAGTCCATGTTAAGTCTGAAATAATTGTTATGTTGCTGTTAGATGTCATGTTTCTCTGTTGGATTTATATTTACATGTAACTTATCATTTCTGTTCTCCGGTATAACTGCATATAAACAAAGGCGTACTTTTCAAGATATTTAGTGTATTTATATCTAGTACCGTCTTATTAGTATGCACACCTAGTTCTTCATTTGTTTATTTACAATAATGACCGATGTTGCATGTTAAACGTCAAGTGGCAGTTCAGAACGAAAACAAATTTACAATTATCACGATCTGTAAAGTCGGTGTTTTTGAAAAAGAGGCTGTAGGAGCGAGCACATTATGACCCTGCTTTCGAAATTATTTCCTTGTTCAAGTTAGTGGTCATTCTGTTGGTAGCTGCACTGTGCGTGTCTTTAATTGTCTGTTTCAATTTTACGACATATGTTGTAGATATGTTAAAGGTTTGTGTGTGTGTGTGATGGGGGGAGGAGCAGGCTATTTTGACTTTGTGTTGGATGATGTGTCTTTTAGAGGAGTCGTTGTTGATTTTGGTCTCTTATACTGTCCAGTATTTTAGAGGAGTCGTTGTTGATTTGGTCTGTTATACTGTCTAGTATTTTAGAGGCGTAGTTGTTGATTTGGTCTGTTATACTGTCCAGTATTTTAGAGGAGTCGTTGTTGATTTGGTCTGATATACTGTCCAGTATTTTAGATGAGTCGTTGTTGATTTGGTCTGTTATGCTGTCCAGTATTTTTTGTGATTTCTGTTATTCTGATTATGTATTGTTCTGAACATGGATTATCCTATGTGCTGTATTATCTGTCATATATCATAATGTACTACAAAATCAGTAAAACATTATCTTGTGATTTGTCTTGACACAGCTTTAGTATTTAGTATAGCTATTATTATTATTATTATTATTATTACTATTATTATTATTATTATTATTATTATTATTATATGTAAACATGCAAAACCAATTTGTTCTTTCCTTCTCTTTCATCTAAACCCTCGTATATAATTTAGACTTGTATTTATATATATATATATATATATAAACAAGTCTAAATTGAAAATAAAAACCGCAATTTTTATACGTGTGCATGCAAAACAAATTTCTTGATAGAGGGGTCTAAATACAGCACAAACAACATTTTCCAAAAGACCAAAAAAGTGAAAAAGTATATTTTAACAAAACGCATTTGACTAACAGGTCGAACAACAGATGTTCTTAAACCCTGCTGACTGCCATTGGCGATTGCCAAATAAACGGATCACAAGATGTTACAAAATAGATCTTTTAAAATTTATAAATTTAATACCAAACAGAAAACAATAATTGCGGAAAAGATGGTATAACGCAAACAAAAGGTGAAAAAATTAGTACACCACATCCGGATTTCGACAAAAATATCAGTATTCATCTCAAAAGCTAACAAAACCTTTAAACAGACTTATTAAGAAGGGATATATTTACGATACTGTTGTCAGGTCATTAAAGATTGCATATTTTGGCTTTAATATTGATTCACTTATAGGGTCTTTGCATCGGAATTAATCATATTTATTCTAAAACCAGTTGTTGGCATGACACGGGTTATGTTCTTCTCATATATTTTATGATGGTATAATACTAAACCCCTAACAGGAGGGATTGTGCCTGATATTCATATGATGAAGACATAATCTTTCAATCAGTTTAATTGAGGTCTGGAGCTGGCATGTCAGTAACTGCTAGTAGTCTGTTGTTATTTATGTATTATTGTCATTTTGTTTATTTTCTTTTGTTTCCTATTCTGACATCGGACTCGGACTACTCTTAAACTGAGTTTTACTGTGCGTACTGTTGTGCGTTTGTTTTTTCTACATTGGCTAGAGGTATAGGGGGAGGGTTGAGATCTCAAAAAACATGTTTAACCCCGCCGCATTTTTGCGCCTGTCCCAAGTCAGGAGCCTCTGGCCTTTGTAAGTCTTGTATCATTTTTAATTTTAGTTTCTTGTGTATAATTTGGAGTTTAGTATGACGTCCATTATCACTGAACTAGTATACATATTTGTTTAGGGGCCAGCTGAAGGACGCCTCCGGTGCGGGAGTTTCTCGCTGCATTGAAGACCCATTGGTGGCCTTCGGCTGTTGTCTGCTCTGTGGTCGGGTTGTTGTCTCTTTGATACATTCCCCATTTCCATTCTCAATTTTACTCTTCAGTGATGTTAGGGATCAAAACGGTATTTGGAAGGCCATATAATTTACCTCAATTTGGGATAGACTCTTGAATTTTGAAGAGTCAAAATATTAGAAATAGGATGAACGGATCATATAAACCCAAAATATAAACAAGTCTAAATTGAAAACAAAGTTCAAACCTATGATTGCGTTGGATAAAAACCGCAATTTTTATACGTGTGCATGCAAAACAAATTTCTTGGTAGAGGGGTCTAAATACAGCACAAACAACATTTTCCAAAAGACCAAATGAGTGAAAAAGTATATTTTAACAAAACGCATTTGACTAGTAGGTCGAGCAACTGATGTTCTTAAACCCTGCTGACTGCCATTGGCGATTGCCAAATAAACGGATCACAAGATGTAACAAAATAGATCTTATTATTAAATTATTACCAAACAGAAAACAAAAAAACTTGCGGAAAAGATGGTATACCGCAAACATGAGGTGCAAAAATGTGTACACCATATCCGGATTTCGACAATTAATGTGTCTTCAGTGATGTTAGGAATCGAAACGGTATTTGGAAGGCCATATAATTTACCTCAATTTAGGATAGACTCTTGAATTTTGATAGAGTCAAAATAGGATGAACGGATCATATAAACCCGAAGGCAAATATAATACAAGCCCAAACGAAAAAATATAAACAAGTCTAAATTGAAAACAACGTTCAAACCTATGATTGCGTTGGATAAAAACCGCAATTTTTATACGTGTGCATGCAAAACAAATTTGTTGGTAGAGGGGTCTAAATACAGCACAAACAACATTTTCCAAAAGACCAAATGAGTGAAAAAGTATATTTTAACAAAACGCATTTGACTAGCAGGTCGAACAAATGATGTTCTTAAACCCTGCTGACTGCCATTGGCGATTGCCAAATAAACGGATCACAAGATGTAACAAAATAGATCTTATTATTAAATTATTACCAAACAGAAAACAATAAACTTGCGGAAAAGATGGTATACCGCAAACATGAGGTGCAAAAATGTGTACACCATATCCGGATTTCGACAATTAATGTGTCTTCAGTGATGTTAGGAATCGAAACGGTATTTGGAAGGCCATATAATTTACCTCAATTTAGGATAGACTCTTGAATTTTGAAAGAGTCAAAATAAGATGAACGGATCATATAAACCCGAAGGCAAATATAATACAAGCTTTTTATCCAACGCAATCATAGGTTTGAACGTTGTTTTCAATTTAGACTTGTATATATATATATATATGCATACAAGTAGGTTTTTGAAGATAAAAACATATTTTTAAGAATGATATTAGTTCAAATTAAGTAATTTTCAAATCTGTCTTGACGCACTAATATATCTTGTATATATATATATATATATATATATATATATATATATATATATATATATATATATATGTGTATCAATGTTTTCATTTAGTCAAGCCAGAAAACAGAGCTATACTAGGACATTAATGTAGCGGTGAAATATATCATGCATTTGTTAATTCTTCTAATCTGTTTTAATACTAATTTCTTTTAAATATGTAATGTTATGAAAG